TCACGAGGATGACGCGTAATACATGTGCCCTAGATTGCCGCGGAGGCGACTCACTTCCTGCGGCAATCAGGTCCGATCAATTAATGCTCGAGTGCCTTCTTGCTCGACGGTATAATGAACCTCGCTCGACGATTACAAACGAAAAAAAGCTTTGCGAGATTGAAATATCGACGTTAGAACGAAAACGAATGACTCGCGACTGTATACAAGTGATACGATCAACTTTTGGAACATACGATCGAAATAGAAGTGAGTGTAGGAAGAAAATAGATGAATTAATCGGACTCTATACGTGTCTGGTTTGAACCGATAGCTTGCCGCGATACAAAATCGATAGGGTCCACTACTAACCGCATTACGCTTTGCATTATCAAAATTACCGTAGCTATAGCTCGCTTAATATTGTCACGGCATAGCATCCAGCCGTCGCTAGATAATACACAGGGTGCCTATCGCATTCCCGATTAAAGCGAAACACTCGGCTAACTCCCTGATTTTCTGAACCACCACCTGTCCTTCAAAAATCGTCTTATCGTTCCTTTTTTTTTTTAAATTTTAAAACGAAGAAGCCCTACAGACTGTCGATCGACCAATGGACAAAGAATAACGATAAAAAAACGCGAACAGGGTTATCGGCGGTCACGTCGAAAACTGAACGGAAAAACATGAGGAGAGGAGAATTGAACGAACGAAGGTTGAACGATATCGTGACGGTTCGTGGAAACATAAGCAGCGATACGTTACAGTTGCGAAGAAAATTGCGGGGCTCACACGCTGTTTCATGTCATTGCGTGACGCGAAATGACTCACGAGTTCGTGAACCTTATGGCTAGTTAATGGGCTCCCTTTAAAGCCCCCGCAATGACCCTTCCTTCTAAAATTCAACGACTTTTCTCTCCTCCTCCCTTTCGATTCGAAATATAGAAATAGGCGACCTATCGAACCGACTACCCAGTAATTTATGAGAACCAGAACGTCATACAAATGCATCATCTTTTTCCCGATCAACAACATCCTTCGAGCACGCTAGGACGCGATGATTCATTACTTTCAACGTGTTCTCGTAACAGGAAATATGTAAGCAGATAAGAGACCTTAGCTCGGCTAGAGGATTCCGCAAAGAGCGTCGGAGCACGTCTCCCGTAATTAAATGTTAAACAGTCTTCCACGGAAAAAATTGTATTTGTTGCGACTAACAAGCTCGGATCACCTCGGCGGGTAGATATTAAAAATGTATGCGAAAAATTTGTGCGTTCGGCAAGAAAGCGTGGCCGGTTCATTACCATGGAAAGTGAGCCCGGCGTATGTTATGTAAATAAGCGCATCTTATCGAGATTAACGGTGATCTTTTAACTGGATCCCGTCGATGTTATCGCTCGTTCGACGCTCACGGTAAATTTGATCGTCGCAGCGAAGGTGTATCGCACGGAACGGACCATTCGATATGGAAATCGTTTGCAAACGAGTCTCAAACGAAATGAATAATTCCGCTGGCCGGAATCCCTTTTTTTAACTCGATTCTAACTCGCGTAAATTGCTTCTTGCCAACTTCTCGAGATGAACGAGAAAGGATTAATTCTATTCGCGGTTCCCTCCGTCTTTTATCGAGTTGCGTGACGCTTAGATTATGCGAGTTCCTTCGGACAATTTAATAGTAATCATTACCGCGATGGATACCATGCAACGGAGTATGAACCACTTATTCGTTTACTGGTTTTTCTACGTTAAAAATAATCATAGTTTTTATTAAGATTGTTATTGTCTCTAACGACATCGGGACCGATACTGCAATTCCCATTGTCCAGCTCTGGTGAAAAGCTCTGGCAATTAAAACGAACGGATCGACGATCGACGGAGTACGCGGTATCAGATTTCGCAGTCGTCGGGACGAATCGATAGTCGGCGTATCATCGCGAACCCGGGGGATCGTATAGATTTTAACCTGCAGTCTGCGGTATCGGGTTCAAAGTCGTATCGTTTTTCGAAGTTGACTCACTCCGACCGCTTAAAACGCGGTCGGCGACTACGTTGCAACTTTACACGAGACATTCGCATTACACAATTTTTAAGTATTCGTTTGCCAAGGAAGAACTAAATATTTACAATGTCGGTGAAAAATGAGGACACTTCCTTGAATGTAGACTGTCTACATGCTTTTGGGTGGCCATGTACGTTTGTAGGATCGTTTCATACGATTATAGGACGAAGCCATAGGTTTTTAGAATTCTGGCTAACGGCATAATCGCTGTATACCGTACAGTAATCGAGTAGGTATAGCCAGGCTAGTTCGAAACTATCGATTACAGAGCGTAACGCGTGCATCTATATCAACCCTTTTAGTGGCAAGTGACGATGCATCGCCCTTTGAAATATACTACACGGCCAAAAGTGTCACCGGGCAATATATATTGTCGCTTCCGCAACCGTTTAAACGACCGTTGCCAATTTACCATCGTTTCTTGTCACCCCCTACTTTTTTCTCTCCCGTCGACTACATTCCTGCTGCTCGAAACTCTTAACATCTCGTAAAAGAGTTTTGCATATCGTTTGGATACGTTGTCCCAGATCCCAAATCTTTGATCTTGCATCTCGTTTGAAAGGGAAATTCAGTATTTCTTTCTTTAATTTATATCGCGAGCAGATCGAGGTTCTTCTGAATCAAACGATAAGCATCAGTAAGTATTCGTTCGTCGGCGAAGTTTTTCCTATAAATAAAGAGCCGATAAGTTATAAATGGACGTATAGGCTATCAAAGGTAGAAAAATTCGAGGAAACTTTAGAAAGAAAAAGCGAGAACAGGCGTAGGAAATACGTAGGTATATATAAAGCAGTCGAGATCGAATTGGGACGAGTTACGCGATAGAATGTGGAAAAGTGTTGAAGAACTGCGCGGATATGACGGGCGTGTTACGTCATTTCTCGCGTAGCAAGCGTTACAAATGATTGCATTAATTCATGAGTCAGTCCCGTCGCGTCAAGTGAACGTAATAGTAATTTAGCGCGATACCCGTTGTCTTCTAGACGCTCGCAAAATTTCCTCCACTCGACAATGGAACTATCCACGTACATACGTACTTATCCCTATTCGAAGATCCATTCTGTTTGTACAATTACCTAAATGAAATTATATTTTCGTATCGAATTAATCGCTCCGGCATTGTTTCCAATTTACCATCAAACTTAAATGCTTTTAACAAACTTTTGATGGAAAATCCGATGGCATAAAAAAAAGAATTAGTCACGGAACTGTGAGATTCTATGTATAACGTATCCTGGACTTATTTATAGAGGCTAAGGTCGATATTTATCTGAATCGGCGTGTGTTCATGATACGTAATGAAATCATCTACGGCAGATTCTATTCAATGATTTTTCGTTACCGAGCCGAGACTGACTAGTTATGAAACAGTTATGTTAATACGTGTCTACACGCAACTGAACATTTTTACTGTCCTTGCGAGTCGCACGCCGACCTGCTGACTTGCTCGATACGCAGAAATAAATGACGGATCACAACCCGAATCATCTTATAATAATACACACTACGTAGTACATTTGGAAATCTTTTGTTTCTTAACTACCGCAGTTTTCTAATAATTATCTAGCCATCGACGTTCGAATTTTCTACCTGTTTACCGTTGTATTCACCTATGTTTTCAATACGTGACGTTCCTTCACAAATTTATCTCAACAGAGCTTCGCGTTCTATCGCATTTTTTTCGTCTTTTTCCTCCTCGTTATCTCGTATCTCAAATATAATATTGCGTCATGGTTGAAAATATGCGTAAAATTTTTTTAACGCCCGCAAAGTTAAATTGGATTCCGTTTTTTATCCAAGAACAAAGAGAGGAGAGTAAAGAGACCATCGATATCGTCCATGAAACCACATCTCTATGCGCGTTAGTATTTAAATAGGATGTAAGCATACACATGCTTATAGATTGTCCCAGACACTCGTTACGTTCGCTTTTAATACTGTATTTGTGAACGAACGATTCCATGTAATTCGCACGATCTCGCCTTTGTCCCGTTGAATACGCGTGAACAAATGAATCGACGTATCGAATTTCCAAAAGGCAACTAAAAATAACGCGCGTTAAATTAGCCACGCGGTAGCTTTCAAACTCGTTATCTGGTTTGCTTCTGATAACTCGGCACCTTCACCAGTCCCGTTTCCACTGTTACTTTCCACGAGCTTCATTGTTTCACTTTTTTAACAATCAATATACGGTGCAAACGTTGATCGCGCATTTTTCTCGGTTCGTTAAATTTTCCATAAACGAGTAAACACGTGTGGTCTATCCATAATCCTACACCTATCTCTCTCTCGCTCGCTCGTTTTCTCTCTCCAGATAATCTCTAATTCTAAACAGGAGAAATAAACATATTCGAGGCAGAGACAGCAGCGTCGTTGCACGTTGCTGGGCTTCTTTCTTCTCAAGTCACTTCCTGCGCCGTCAGTGACTCACGTGAATCACCGAACAGTCAAGAAGAACGAACGGGCGAAAGTATTATATTCAAGGGAGAAAGACGGAAAGAGGAGGAACGAACAGAGAGCCTTCGTCCGACCTTGCCGCTGTCTCAAAGCTTTTGCTCTTCGCGCGTACTCGGAGGCTACATTTATCGCGAATTCGACGATTCGATAGTACGGATAGAGCGCACCTAACCTGCAAGGAAAACTTGGTCCCTCTCCAGGCACTGGGAAACGACACACGAGAAACCGGCGTGCACTAAGAGATTCGTTGGAATCGACGACGCGAGAACAAAACGAAAAAATGGATGAACGTTCCGATAAGATATCTTCCTAATCGGGTGAAAAATGTAAAGGAAATCGGGCACCGCCTGAGAAAACGCGCGGGCGGCCACCGTGCATGATTTCCGGCGGCGTTTGCCTGGCGTGCCACGCCACGACGACCTCACCGGGGAGGGGATTGCGAACGCTATTCTTTTTTTAGAAACTATACGATATCTCTATGGAGAAACACTGGTTTTCCCCTTACCTTAGCGCCTTCAAAATATTCGTTGGATCTGCTCGGCGTACGTCGACGTTATGTATACACCCGTGTATCCCTCGTATCTAATGGCCCTCCGTCGCACTCTATCCTCGTCTCTTTCTCTCTGTCTCTCGGGCTATCCTCTTCGCACACTCCTTCCTTCACCGTTCCTCCGTCTCTCCTCGTTCTTTCACCGCTCTCTTTCTTCCTCTCTTGCGTTCTCCGTCCTCGTTCGCAGTCTAGCTATATCCTACCGCACAAAGATTCTCCGACGGCTACTCGCTGCTTCTTCCTACTTCTGTGCTGTTGATCGTCGTCGGTTTTAGGTAGAGAACACATCGAAACAAACCGAGAAGAGGATGGAACACGATGGTACTGCTGGTGCCGGTTGATGCGGAATCACCGATACGCAGTTACGAACAGCGAAACAAAACGTATCATTTGCCAAAGGAATTTCGCACTTTGCTCTTCGGAAATCTCGCGCGGCGCGGGTGCACCAAAGCCTGTACGGGCCACGGTACTCTCGATCCGGTCTACTCGCCTCGACGAACCCGATTACTCACTGTGTGGCTCGAGGCGGCTTAGGTTCGCGCACCGCGAGAGAACGACCTCGCCACAGGGAACGTTTCGTTTCTTCTCGCGAACGAATCTATCCTTTCCTCTCGGTTTTCGAAGCACTTTCGCGAAAACCAGCACGACACCAGCCCACGATTCTACCGTTATCTAGGGCGATGCCTCTCTGCTGCTCGCCGCTTTGCCCTCTGCCTATGACTATGCGACAACGTTCAGAGTAGTCAACGCGAGTCAAGCGACACGCGTCTGCGTAATGTGCATCCGTCTCACCGATCACAGCGCCAGCCGCCATTCGTCGCCGAAACGAATTTCGAATTGTCGGACAAAATTGTTCCAGGTTTTTAGTTTAATCCCTTGAACCCACCTATTAGTCACGTTGTTTATCTAATTGTAAGAACACATCTGTGATTCTGTTCGAATTCTCTGCTACGGACTCTTTGTTTCTTGTGAGTTCCTACATATTTCGGTTCAAACGTGTTACATCTTTCTTTATCGCTCGATTGTGCATTAAATGTTGGTCCGATGTTGGTGAAATAACAAAACAATTCGGATATCAGTGCTTCCCACTGTTCAATCGTTTGTTCGGCACCTCACCTTGGCACGGAGGAATGGGACGTCGCGAATTTGGTAAGCTTTTATCTCATTTTAAAACTTATCATTATCACTCGTATTGTGCATTTTTGAAAGAAGAATGAGGTTCATTATATACGGTCTGAATCTTTATTCGTGATCCAATATAAATTCCCATGATTGACCCTCACTTCTGTGGTCAATACATATTCTACTTTACGTACATACATACGTGCGTTAAATGTTTTATAATATATATATTATACATATCTACTATAAGTGAACATATTTGAATTTTCTACATATATGCGTATTTAAATATATCTGCCTTACTATAAAAGATTGAGATAATTGAACGATCCGACGATCGAAATACAACTTATAATGAACATTGTTAACAAACATTATTACTCTACTCTACTCAAACTCAAACACAACATCATTCGAATTTCTTGCGCAATGACTAGCAAAGCAATTGCTATTCTCTATGCCGTTGTAATCTGCAATGCGATACAGCGAGGTGGTAGTTTAATCGGAAAAAAACATACATAAGCATGTTTCTTTGTTGTTTTGCCAAACGAGAAATACATATTTGTTTCTGTACAAATCGTAACTTTAAGAGTTGATGAGGGAATGGTGTTCAAACACTTTTTTAGTTAATTGAGGTTATACTCAATGTATTATATGCTACAGACAATTATCCTGATTATAATTTATTCGTGACACTTGCGTAGGTCATATTCCAAGTTAATTGCGTGTTATTTATAAATATCGGCTATCGCGTTGTTCCGTTTCGGTTCATCGAATTCCTCGTAATCGAAAATTGAAAATCGTCTGCAATGAACGTGAGAAAGAAACATGAAAAATTAAAAACTGCGAGTCAAGCAGAAATTCTACGATCGCATCAAAGGGACATTGACTTTGTTAAACACTTACGCGAAAGAGTTATTGATGTTTTACAAATTCTTGGGAAACGAAAGGGTTTGCTACCCTTTATTCATTCCGATATTCCCTTTAAATTGATTTATTTCTTCTTCACGTCGGGAATGGGAAACCAAACGCTAGGAGAAGAGTACACAGGAATAGTGCAAGCTAATTTAGAAGCTCACAAAGTTCCATCCCTTTTCGCAAGGGTGTTGGCAGTGATTTTAGAATGTTTTGGAGAAAGGGCGTTGTTAAAATTATTAAAAAGATTAGAGGTATCAGTTAACGATTCTTGTAGTCAATTGACTCCCGCTGCTGTGACATTCTTCAACTCTTTTATATCAAAAATGTACACACTGATACCCATTCTAATATTAGCGCATAAAGGATTATTTTATATATTTGGTCAGTACTATAGTCTGGGCAGAAGGATAGCGCGAATAGATTACGCAAAGGTAATTTCTATGCGATGTTGTTAATTGATATCAATTTTACATCAACACCTTTTGAATGTAAAGGTGTACGGTCATCGACCTAACGACACTATCAGTTGGGGACTGAGGCTGTTAGGGATTGCCACGCTTGCACAGTGTTTGTTGAAGTTCTGGCAAAGTAGAAACGATGATGATCAATCTCAGAGGTGTTTACCAATCGACGAGAAGCACGGTAAACCGATGTGTCAGTTGTGTCTGGAGAAGATGCCGACGACTGCCACACCCTGCGGTCATTTATTTTGTTGGTTTTGCCTTACCGATTGGCTGAATGCTAAACCGCAATGTCCTCTGTGTAGAGAGCACGTTCTACCTTCTAGAATTGTACATGTGATGAATTTGTAATATTTTGCTGGATATGTAAAAAGACAAAGTTGAAAAACATGCACGAATTCTTTTCCTTTCTCGAGCTAGTCATAAATAGTCATACATAGACAGAACACTGACCTTAAACACTATCTATCCATCTGTGCTAATAATTTTATACAGATGGTAGTTTCAAATACGCATACACGTACCATAAATGAATATGAAGAAAAATTAGTAGATGTACACGCGTATCTACACATATATATACATACGAGTACTTTATACATATACATATATGTATATATACACAAAAATATCAAGTTTTTATTCATGTCACGCGTATACACGCTATCATCTTGTATAACAATGCATTATTCGCATAAACGATGATGTACAATTGTTTTATTCTCACATGTTGTATAGCGTTTTTATAAAATTCTCAATTGAGTCGAGTAGTCGATAACAATAAACTGATAATCACGGAGCCAAGGGAAGAGGTGGCAGAGTAAAAGTAAACGATGCGTTATAGTCACAAGGATGTGCGTTGAACGGAAAGAATCCCTACTCTCTCCGCGAAATTGCCGAGCATCTGGCCGAAGCCAACCGACTCGGAATTGTCTTTCATTCGAAATCCCACGGTGTGACTATAAGCGTTATAAAATATTCTTCTTAAACATTGTAACTTTTCTCTGCGTGATCTGAAACAGAATGATCGTTACTTATTTTTTCCGTTTACTATGAAAATTCTGCGATCGACAAATTAAATTCTGGTACGTACTGTGTCATCGAACTACATGCTTCGTCTTCGATGATCGTTGTGCTCGATTCAAGAGACGTGTGTCCCGGGCATGTTTCACAAAGTGGTTTACAACCTAAACTAGTCATCAGCCCATCAGTGAGCGGCGCATTGACGGTCGTGGAACCGCGTAAGCTCCCGGTTCCAGATATCATCTGCCAAGAACCGCCGGACGATGAAGACTCGTTTCGTTGTCGTAGTCGCCCAGGTACGGGAACCGCGACAGGCGAAGTCCGATTCGGCGGTAAGGGCGATCGCGATCCATAAGCGTTTCCTTCTTTGTTCGGCGAAGGATAAAATGACTTTGGTACCACGTTCCTATAGAACGAGAAAATGATTGCCAAGAAAGTAAGAAAAGCGATGGACGTCCGTGAGCGATGAAAGGAACTTACCCGTTATTGTGACAATCGTCTTGAGTAGTTTCTGTGGAAGCACAGTGAAACACCGCTGGTGGATTATTATCTTGACTATCTCTGCTATTTTGACTAACAGAACTACAAGAACTATTCAGACTTAAATTGGAACTGACCGAACTCAGTGTCACTATCGATTCGTTGTCAAACATCACATTGTCCAATTGCGAATCGCTGTCATTACGCAGCACCGTGTGCTTCGATCGACTGTGACGCGGATGAATGCTAAACTCTTCGTCGTGAATATGTTTTAGAAAATAGAAACAAAAGAAAAATATTTCTTCCCCTTTGCTCAGTCTGTCTTCTAAATCGTGGCCGAATAACATCCAGTCGTACGCTATGGTGTAGTAGAGAATTTGATACGCGTTTAGCGATGTATGAATTGCACCGTCAGCCCACAAGCTGATTCTCAATAACGAGATAAACAGGGGTGTGCGATCCCATCCTATAAAAACGGTACTGGACGTTAGCCCGGTCAATTGTTCGAGTAGGAATCTCGATGTTAACACTTACCTGAGATACAATGAATCAATATCCCGTTACTAGTATCGCTCAAATATCTTAATATAAGTTTCAAATAATTTTGAGTCAATTGTATTAGATCCCAGACTTGATATTGATCCCAATTGATTCGTAACTGACTCGAGATCGAATCGTCCGGCACACCAATTTGTGCATCCACGTGAGTCTGAGACCAGTCGAACACCAAACCTTTGGCCAAGTAGTCGTTTTCTCGAAACTCCCTAAAGAATTCACATCCAGGATACGGCAGTGAAATTAGGGTGAAGTCGGAGTATCTCTTCTCCTTGTCTACTTTCTCCGAGGACGTCACGCTGGATACCGAACAAAAGAGCTCTGTTTAAGGTCCTCTAAAAGTTGATCGATGAAATGAAATAAAAAAGAAAATAAAACTGATCATGCTATTCGCTATTACTGAATTTCACTGAATCTGTGAAGAACTAAAAGTTATTTCAAAGGAAGAGAACATCTTTAAATAGGTAGCATAGTGGTTTAATTGAGATGTGTGCGTCGACCATTGTCGCGAAATTTTCCTATACTTACTTCACTCCAAATTTGACCTTCTTCTTCTCGACCATAAAATCTATTATGGTTCCTACATTAAGCGTTCTCAGAAGCTTAATATCTTGATGCCTGACTTTATCGAACAATTGCCATTCGCTAACAGAATCACCTCCACGAGCCTCGTCTACTTGTTGCTCAACTGAAACTGTCCCTTCGCTACCGGCGAACAAGTAATCTAGCCCAGATCTCCCATAAATTTCTGGTCCACCGGACAGAGTGGCCGATCTGCAGACGTGTCTACCTTTGTACAATATAACCGGCAGTGGAAATCTTGAACGACACCTGGCGAATCTTGCATTTTTTATCAATTCCTTCAATTTGTTAGGGTCATACATGCTTTCGTATATGGTCTCTGTTGTGCGTGGCAGTGGCGGCGGCGTATCACACAGATTCGAGTTTCTATACTTCTCGTATTCTAAAATGATCAGATGGCTAGGATAGTGTGCACTGAGATCGCCTCCATTGTTATTTATTACGGAGTGAGTATAATCTAGATCAGTGAGCAGCAGACATTTTTGCATGATCGCTTGACACTAGAAAAAGAAATAGTATTCGTTTAATTACACAGGCGAGACAAGATAGTTTATAAACATGTAAGCGTAAAAAGACTTACCGTGCTGTCTGCATCCTTGGCTCTGTACGTGTTTTTCGAGAAGTATACGAGAAGTTCCTGCAAATCTGGCATGTTTACTTCTGTCATGATTGGAGCAGCTTGTCTGAGAACGCGTGTTATCCGAAACCTTAACTCAAAGACCAATCTTTCTTTCTAAGTTGGGCCTAAATTTTTATAATTTTCATGAGGGTGCTCATGAGTCATCAACTGTAGCCAATGTCTCGCGTACGATAGGAATGGCACAAACACTGTATTTACAATATACCACATCACAATTTAAACGTCGTTATTCTATTTCTGTCAGTTGTTCTTAAATTTAAAGGACATTACTTGAAATTTAAACAAACCAAGAGTACGAGGTCTTACAAAAGCCTAATATCAGTTAGAGTTAGAAACAGAGTATACGTGAAAACGTTTAACTGTAGAATACATAATTTTATTAGTAGAACGTTTATAAAGTAAACTCATTGATGAGAATAAAATAAAAAGCAGTAATAATTAAGATTACAGAATGAAGCATGAATATTCACCAGAAAAATATTTTAATATGTGTACAATCTTCCATTTAAATAAATATAGGTGACGATAGTAAAATATTATTGAACAAACGTTATTATACAATTTTACATTATACTAATAGCACCTCTTCTCGATTAAACGTATATTGCTTTGATTGCTCATTCGATAGAAACTCCTGCTTTTACTCGTGTTTAATACTTTATAATAAATAAACTTGTCTTAAATTTAGTAATTGTCGTGTAACAAGGTTTAATTCTGTAGGTACAAATTAGAGCAAAGATGAAACAGTTAGTAACGTCTCGATGGTTCTAAGTCCAAATGTGGTTTGTGTTTATTTATTTCTAACAGTTCAAAGATTTGCACGTATCGTTTCACGTATCATCGTGTTGTTTCCTTATTAAATCCAACGGTGAAATCGAATTGAAATTGTCGTCCTGGGACCAAAAAAATTGTTCTTGTATCTCCGGAACGTGGCAGAGGCAGAGATCGTTGATTTCTTCAGTTTGTATAAACAGTTTCGCAGAAATTTGAGTAAGAATTTTTCCTCCACGGCGATGATTATGATACAACCTTCGTGGTACCGCTTAACCTGTATCTTCAAGATGTGCACGCCGCTTTCATTTTAACGAACACATTAATAAACGCTCGGAGAAATTCTTAGAACGACCATCGGACGATACACGAACAAGAAAACGGATTGTTCGTCACGGGAAATATCTATGTTATCTCATCGTGCTCCGATTTCGGTGAAGATCAAGATCCAACGTGATAACCTCTGGATCACACCCGATGAAATATTACGTTCCACGTTACGCGTAAAGATCCGGACCTGTCCCGAGTACACTGTCATCCTTTATCGTTTTAATCGCCACCCTTCTAACGATTCTACACTCTACACCGAAAAATCTGTTATCACGTTTCACGCGTCGCATTTAAAAGTCGCTCCCGTTCTTAAAAAGGACAAGAATGTTGTCCCTCTTCTTTGCCGTCGCCGTCGACCAGCTATCGCGAACAGTACGTCGACCTTGATTTCCTGTCCTTTCACCCACGCGGTGATAAACACGAGAAAACGATCCCGATTTAAACGCGAGTAAGACAATTTTTTTTTAACCGCTGTTTGACAAATTCCGCGATGAAAACCAGCGAACACCAGACGCCTGGTCAGGACGAAAGTACAAAGTGAAACACAGCGTAGATAACCTATTTTTGCAATGTGGAGAACGTGTGCTTTGCTCAGACGGTATAGCAAATTTTATATTCAAATAAATGCGTAAAGCGAAACGCGAGCACCGACATCGATAATTTATTTAAGCCGCAGTTTCGCGGTAATATTCTTTTAATAACGTATTCAATATTTAAAGAATCGTCAACGCGAACAATAAATTATTTTTATTGCATATTCATTTATGCAAATAGTTCTAAGAATTACTTTTGTATCCGTTGAAATTGGGAAAAGATCAGAGAATTAATTTTACAATTTTCCATGAATGGATTATCTAAAATAATTTTATTAAGTTTCGAATATCCGTTGCATCGATATTAAATCTTGGAAATGTAAATAATTCGTTGATCACAGACGAGATACAATTTACGTTAAACAAAATTAGCGCGTATGAGCGATAGCTATAAATTGTATTGTGCTTTGGATATTTTGTATTACTTGGCACGTCCTGTGCTTTCAATGAAATAATTTAAAAAAAGTTATACAGCCGAGAGCGGCATAATTTTAAATGTCGGCGCAGTATGAGCACAATATAGCTCTGCATGCTCTGCACCGATGTATGTAAATAAGTCGAATTTCTATCACAGCGTCGTGTGTTGAGGAATAGTACAACTCAGGTCTCAGGTTTCACTCACAAGATTTGAAGTTCTTTCTCACTATTGCTCAATGACTCTAGTCACTCATTTCCTCTCTGATAGTAGAATAATGTCATGTGCTTTATTTACGACATAAAAAAAAATCGAGTAATTCGTGTTTGATATAATTTTATTGTCAGGCGCTAATTATTATTGCGTGCTTAAGATTTGACGTTACAAATTATTTTCATAAAAGATTGTGTCGTAATGCCTGATCGTAACCCGCTAGTGTATGTACTCTTTCACCCATGAGCGGTTCGTTCGTTTTTTAAATGATTCTATCGTTAATTAAGAAAGTTGAATTACAAGCACGATTCTAAATATATATGTGACTTTTTTCTATAAAATATAAAGCACCTGTGCGAAGTTTTCATTGTACATATACCTCAACATGTTTCAACGGCAAGTATTTAACCTATATCAACCGGTGTATTTATGGAATTGATTAAAAACATAGACATGATTTATGGATATTTCAGTTGTAAAGTTTTATGTCTAATGCCAAACATACAATCACGCTACAAGAGCGTACTATCTAAGCAAGAAGCAATAGAGAGGAAGAATTTGTTGTTTGAAGAGGAGCAGAAGAAACAGAGAAATGCAGTAGGAAGAATTGAAAAAATTGAAGTCAAATATAAATCCCCTATAGAAGATGTAGTTCTCATAATGAACAAATGTTTATCCACCCCTGCTGATTGTGCAAAACATATATCCGAAGGTGTTTCCAAAGTATCTGCCCTAGCCTTAGTGGACGGACTACCATGGGACATGAATAGGCCTTTAACATCAAAATGTGAATTGAAACTCCTAAATTTACTTAGCCCAGAGAACAAAATCGTTAACACAGCTTTCTGGAGAACCTGTTCTTTCATTTTGGGTGCAGTAGTGGACACAGCATTCAAACCAGATGTAAAAGTCCATTTGCATAGTTTTCCAGTACCTATTATAAAGTCTGGTAGTTTTATCTACGATGTGCATCTCGAATTGGATGATTGGAAACCCACGGATCAGGAAATGCGTGCATTTTCTGCTCAGTACATGAAACTTGTGAACCAAGCATTGCCTATAGAAAGGATAGACACTACAGAAAGCATTGCGCTTGATATATTTCAAGAAAATCCAATCAAATCAGAACAAATACCAGACATCGCGAAATCTAATAATAACAAAGTCAGTTTGTACAGGATCGGACAACACATAGACATTAGCAAAGGACCTATGGTAGGAAATAGTTCGTTAATAGGTCGATGTACGATCGCTGCTATTCACAAAGTACCGAATAAAGAGAATTTGTATAGATTTCAAGGGGTAGCCCTTCCCCAAGGGGTTCTTTTAAATCAGTTCGCATACGGTTTGTTAGTGAATCGCGCTAAAGAATTAAACACGACAGCGTGGTCGTTCTTGTCGGATGAGAGCAAAGATGAGGAAGAGAGCTATGTTGAGGTGTCTGTTAGAAACTAGTTTTTATAAACCAAATATATATAGTATTAATAAAAATGAATTTTCGACATAATTTTTACCCTTCATAATTCCTCGCTACCTATGTAAATCATTAAAATACACGTTGCATTTTAACAAAATGTTAATCATTATAGGTAAAATATTTTATTACTCTATCTATCGTTAAATATTTTACTACTAAATATATGCACTATATATATATATATAGCCACTATGTTAAAAATGTAAGACGTATAATTGTATAATTCCAATGTGCGTGTATATATCTGTATGTGTGTGATTACGGTCCTCTAATCGTATACAAATAAAGATTCACGATGCTTGACGCGCGCGTCGTGGAGAACGAAGTTCCCATACGAAATTACCGGCTAATCTGTTGGCTAACGATGCTGGGCAAGTGACGTTCATTCGTAAAAAAAGCTGTTGATATTTGCAAGTTTTCATCTCGCGAGCCTCAAACTCGTCCGATCTTAAAATCGATCGCACTTCGAGTGGAGCCAATTCCGGCGTGCACTTCAATTCGATATCGATCACTAGATCGAGGGTTGGCGCTTTATGGACCTGTTCTTCCGTTTCAACCGTTAAGTCCATCGTACTAACCGCCGCGTGAGTAAATTTGCTTTCGTACGCGTACTTGTTCATATTTCCATAATAAAAGAACTTGCCGCCGTATTCGCCGTAGCCGGAATAAGTGGACGCGGGTGGAGGTCTCAAAGGATCCGTCAATGGGATCTAAAGAGTAAAGTAGATACATTGACCGTGTTTTCGTGTTTTATCCCGCGCGTGCTAGTGCAACCTGGAACAGGAGGTTCTTCTCGTAATGCAAGTTTTCGAAGAAATGCTCGTTCACGCTGCCCACCAGACGCCGAAGCCGGAGATACATGAAGCGTTGCTCGTCCCTCCATGATTCTTCGTCGGCGTTTTTAGTGACATCCAAGCAGGTAAACCACGCTCTTTTTATCGTGTACCTCAGCTTCATGTTAACCGTCTCGCCGTGTCTGCTCGACATTACTTTGAAAGCCAATACTTGCCGGCCTTCCACCAGGCAGTCCAAAATATCTATGACTTTGCATCCAGAGATCAAGGAGGATCTATCGACATTTCATACGATTATTTATGCATTTACCGTAGCGTCGAATTTTCGGAATATCATTAACTTGTTCACTCTGCGCTCGGAAACTTTCTCGAAGAAGTTCATGAATCGCTTGCACAGGGACGTAAAGGCAGTTACATCCGCGTTCACGGTACAAAGTTCACGAATGCTGGACGTACGGTATTTCGCAGCTCGGGCAAGAATTTCGTTCAGCTTGTCGAGCAAACTGCCCGCGTAGAAGCAAAGTCTCGGGAACTTTTCCTGCTTGCCAGGAGGATGTGTGTACCTCCACGTGACCGCGCGTAACATTTTGTATTGCGCTTTGATCACCTCCGCCGTGTTGTAGGCTTTGTTACAAACCAACAGTTCGTGATCCACTTTCGCGTGTTTCATCGTATCTTCGATCCGCCTCATCAGACCTTCTATTCTCGCACCAGCCGTGAGAAACGCGCCGTTCAAAACTATCGAGGCGATCGTCGAACAATGTCTGATTAAAAAAACGTAACAAGTAGTTCATGTTTTAAATTAAACAGTATATATAAATGTTAGTTATAGAGTTGTGTACTCTAACATATCGAAGAATAAACGATGGTAGGTGGCAGAGTTTATTTATTAAATAGGATAACTGTATTTAACATAAATTACCTGGATACCAATCGCACGGACGTGGAAACGTCGTGTAAAGGCAATAGCCTAAGAACCATCTCCAGAACCTCGGGCGGGAGGGTATCCAACGCGTACCCATGATATCTGCGTTCAATCAACCTTTTCTCGAAATCCTTGCGCGTGTCCTCGAGCCGGTCGGGTTTGATAGGCACTTTCTGACGCTTGTTCGCATTCATTTAAAATAGAGGAACATTTAAAAAATATAATAAAAAAAGTTTCTTCGATATACACTGGTCGATGCTACTTTGTGCTTTTCGTGCTTCGTGACAATATAGAGCAGCTGTCTACGTTTATCACATTATTGTTTCACCTATATTTTCTACTAATTAAAAGTGCATCTTGGATAAAAATTTAAGAAAATTAAAAATCGTGATCAGGGCGAAACAAAACAAGCGATGCGTGGATTCATGGATATCGTTTTAATCGAGAGTTCTTCGATTCTCGTTTTACAATTGTACAGGGTGTCATAATTATATATATACTGTTATTTATTAGGTACAATGGAAAGTATAATAGTTATCGCTACTGTTATATCGAAAATAACGTGTTCAATTTCATCATGTGTATGTACATACTGATCGTAAATCAATCTGGGATTGAGATTGTCTTGTTGGGGAAAAAAAACGCATGGATCTTCGCCACGTCGCAAAGTAGAAACGATTATTTAAATCAATACATACATAGTTACAGTGTCTCTCGCGTGTACAATGATAGTTACAATCGTTAGGTACATTTCTCTCGTACTATAAAAGGACATCGTCGACAACGTTCCATTAGAAGCAACCTTCAATTTTTCAAACCCTGTTTCATTATCGAGCCTCAAATTAGAAAACTTATACAGAAAAGTTAACAGGCATGAAGAGCGTGAATTTTGTTTGATCCACGGGTAGATCTTCAGAACCGCACGGACTGATGCTGTCCAAAAGCGTCTGAATCGCGTTTTGATTACTCGGATGCTTCCGTTTAGTGTGTTCCCTTCTGTGTTTCAACTCTTTGAACGTTTTCCCGCATTGATCGCAGACGTACGGCCTCGCAGCTTCGTGGGACCTCATGTGGCCCTCGTAGTGACTTTTCCGTACGAATTTCTTGCCACACTGGCTGCAGCCAAATTGGAATCGGCCTTCGTGCGCCGCGACGTGCGAGCTCAACGTCCATTTCGTCTTGAAAGTCTTGGAACAGTAGTCGCAGCGTATTTTGGACGCTCCGGTTGCACTTTTACCAGATTGTTCCGGTCTTCGCGGTTTATTAAGGAGTAACATTTCCTCAAGTAAGAAATCGTCATCTTTGTCGTTCTTCTCTCCTTTCTCCAAAGCCGATTGAGCGTTCAATATATTTGCTGTATGCTGCTTCATGTGCTCTTGAAGGTCCTCTTCGTCCCGCGAACATGTCCCGCAAAAAACGCACACGTTCTTGCCCGGCACCTGTTTCAACAGAAAATAGTGCGATCAGTCTTATGTTAGAACAATTAAGGATGTATTGGCTATACAATCAATCCCAAAAGTTTATGCACTTTAGAAACGCATTTTTTAAAAANGAACAAAACTATGTTTGTTCTCTCGCGTTACTTTAAACATACCTTTTCGTGAGAACTCATATGAGCTTTAAGTTTAATCTCGCTAGCATATTTCTTCTTGCATTGCGAGCACGAATAAGATTTAGTTTCCCGGGAATCCTCAGTCCAAATCTGTCCGACAGTTACATTTTCAGTTTCCTTCTCGATCTGTTGTTTGTTCACGGCAACGAGGTGTTCGCAGTCGCATAATTTTTCTTTCCTTAACTCGTGGCGAGCGATGTGCCGTTTCAAGTCGTGCGCCCTGGAGAAGGCTCTCCCGTACCTGGCGCAGCCAGGAAAGGGACAGCCTTTGGTTTTGTCGTTTCTCGGACGAGGCGACTGCTTCGCATCTTTGGTATTGCAATCCTTACAGGATTTCTCGACTTTTTGACTAGTGACTGTAGTCAGCTGGGCTGACAGCGGTATCACGATGGAAATAGTTTCGTTGGTGCTCGGATTCACTATGGGCCCAACGTGAATAGCGGGTGGCGTCGCCAAGGATAAACCATTCTCGTTTCTGCTCATCCTTTGCAGAATCGATTAGTCGTTGAGAACTAGAATGCGAATAATTGCAATTAATATTCTTGTATAGAATTTGTAGTCTAGTGATAAGAAAGGATCTGAGACTTTAGAAACGCGATTTGTCAATTTTTCGTTCTTCACGCGTTCACAAATGAAATGGAGCGCAAAACGTGTTCAGCTGTTTTTAAGAATTTTGCTATAGAACGAATCGACATCGTAAAACGGTCCTACAGCGGTGCGAGAAAGCGTGAAGCTTTCTTCTGTTTTTAATTTCCACGTGGGCAAATGTTACACCGGACACCGAATAGTTAGACTGTCTCATATGTGTAACTCGCTTCGAAAACTATCATCAAAGTAAAATAAATTAATAAATAGTCAAGGTTCATATCAATATTCCCGTTTGTATCAGTTTCTAAAATTGTTCTCTGTGAACAAGTTCTAAGAAACGACTATAAACGTTCAGAACACGAACAACAAATTTCCTTTCTAACAGCATCGAGTTTAGTACTGTGTGCACAACAAAAGCAGCCATTTTGAAACGAATTCTCAACCTTTGAACGAATTAATGTTTCCATTCGTGATGATAAAAAAAATTAACCGTGAGTACTGAAGCAGTTCTTACCTGGTAAACCCGGTGTATTTCGATTCTTCGATCGCGTCTCTCTTTTCTGCGATACGTCAGAGGCCGTCTGAATGATTCATCCGGTTCATGCCACCCTCCCTTTGCACCCCTTGGAAAGGGTGAAACCCGGCCGACACGCGACTTTCATTTCTCTACCCAATCTCAGTATACAGTTCCTTATTTTATTTTACAAAGTGCAAGTGTTCCTGTCTAGTACGTTTGATTTAATTTATATTAAAAATCCTGACGCACGACTCGACGAATCTAACAATCACTGTGCAATTCTTTGCGTTACAGATTGCAACTCTGGTCAGGATATTTTACATCCGATAACCGTGGACTATCCGCATTCTCGTTTCAATGTCACGTAATTTGTATGCGACGAATGTGCCGCGCAATTAATTCTCTCGACTTTCTCGAGACGATTTGTCTTTCCAGTGAGCCACCCCACCCCCCGGGGAAAAATGCACAATGATTTTTTCGCGTCGTCGAAAGGAATCCGTTTCTCCCTTTCTCCGAATACCTCTCTCCTCTCGCGAGAGCACTCCTTAAACACCGCGGACGTGGATATCTTAGCCGCGGATGGGACCGACTCACTTTTCTCGACGCCCGATGAAAGTGTGCTACTACTGATCAGGAACGCGCCGCACTCTCCCTTGTTCGTTTCACGGACGCTCCTCGCGCATGTCAACCTTTGCCCGACGCTGATTACAGCCGGAGCATTGTCAAACTGTCTGATGTTCATACGAATGAAAAAGCTGGTTCATTGAAAATTATAATTAACCAACGGATTTTATAAAGTAGACAAAAGTGTACAGAATACGTGAAATTTCAATAACTGCATGCACAGCGTAACGATGAAGCGATGATCTTCTTAAATTGATAAGAGACATTTTTTTATTTTACATAACAGTCAGCAGGCTAATTATGAAAAGGATAAAAATAACGCTGTTGAAGATTGCGTGTAAGCAAACCTTCCCAACTTGATGCATGGTACATGCATATGCACGTGTATGTACACATGTTTTATGCAAGCATGCACCGATCTGTATCTAGAAGGGTTGTGCAAATCGATCCGGTGATCTCAGCCGCCTTCGCAAGGTAATTTCTATGTAGGCGCATCCGATACCGATAGCGATAAAACGAAATATTTGTTTGAATATCTAGAAAGCGTTTTCCTTCTTTTTATATCTAATATTCCATCGAATGCCAATAATACGTTGTATTATTTTTATCACTATCGATTGAGAATATTTATTGATAATATTTTTTATCATATAATTCATTCATTATCATTAATTCGTTGGGGTGTGAGACTGTCGTATTGTCAGAAGTTGCCTGGTCATACAGTTCAATGGAAACGGTATGCTCGCTATTAAATGGCACACCTTCAACTTCCCTTGAGATTACATCGAAGTTAATCAGCTAATGGCGCGGACATGAATGATCACTGTTAAAGAGTAACTTAGGGAAAGAATGACATTATCTTTATAAATATGAAAGAACTCGCGATTTTTTTTCAAAGGTACAAATGAATAAATGAGCTGAAAGAATTAATTAATTTCTACTAAAGATTGTATTAGGTGTACGTACAAATGCATTGTTTTGAACTCATTTGTACATCTGATACTTCATTATTTCAAGCATGAAAGTTAATGAGAAAGTTTCACGAGAACAAAATTTATGATTTAATCAGAAGAGAATACGCGGACACTGACAGCAACAGCGGCAGCAACAGCTGCGTTACATTAGCCGTCTAATATAATTACTGGCTGCTAATTGACGCGTGTGTCCGACTCTAATCAATTAATTAAACTAGATTCATTCATGTTTAATCTCCATATAATTTTTTTATTAAACGGAATCTTGGACAACGTTATTGCATGTAGAATAGTAATTAGTGTTCGTAGAAACTGATGCAGAAGTTTGTTTCTTGTAACTTCATTAAGTACTGACTGAGTATGCAGCCTTATTAGATTCCCATTGCAATTATGAAACATCTTCGATCTAAAGTCCTTTGGTTCCTTAAATCAATTATTCAGTCAATTATAATTATTTGAGTTAGAGTGTAAGGCGATACGAATAAAGATTTGCAATGTGTGTAAAACGATATGAGCAAAGATTTGTGAAAACCATTGAGTGGATATTATTCCATGTACAGGGAAGTAAATGGAACTCGATCAGAAGGATGCTCTCGTATGCTAAGTGCCACGTATTAAGCTAATTAATGGATGCGTCGGTACAATTTGTGTACTCTGGCTCTCTTAGTTACCTCAATGCACGCGTTCCACGGTAGATCGATACTTGGTATATCATAGGGGGTTGAAAGGGTAGCTGGAAATGCAATCGCTGTCACACGCACGATCATCGGGTTGCGTAACATCGAATCCCAGGGAAGTAACTTCGGTTTCCTTTACGAGAGTCATATAAATGCAGATACTTTCCATTCCCGTTTGGAAACATTTGCTATCGATAGAGGATCGTTGCATAGCCCCTGGCAAAATCGCAGAACTTGCCTTATATTTTCATTTATATTTATACATTTCTTGTTATTAGAATTCAAATTCTATGTCTATATCGTATATCTTTTTCTTTGTAAGATCGTATTTTATATTCTTTTTTAACAAACAATTATATGAATGAAAAGACGATTGGGGAAGAGCGGTACGAGTTTTAAAGGAAGAGACACATAGCAGAATTCAGAAAAAGACTAAGGATTGAAGATATTTTATACAATATATACGCATATGTACAGTCTATATCAATATTTACACAAATCTACATATGAATCAATAGATAAATTATAAGAGCAGCGTGTCGTCGTCGTTGTCCATAATATTCTTGATCCACTTCACATAAGACTGTATCCTGGTGTAGACGTCTGGATACCCAGGCCTGGCGCATCCCGATCCGAAAGAAGTGACCCCAGCCAATTGCCATACCCCGTCCGCTCGACGGCACTGCAACGGTCCTCCGGAATCGCCCTGTAAACGCGAATTTAACTGTGGCCTGAGATTTCAATGCTAATTTCACGATAATCTCATCCATCTGCAACCTTCTCGCAGAAGGTCAAATTATATTTATTCAGGAATTGCAAACGCTCTAATCTAGTTAAGTGGATTCTGTAGATTGATCAACAGTATCTGAATGTAAAATGATGAGGATCGGTAATGAACGAGATTTAATGCAAAATGACGGGGATTGGTAATAAGCAATTTTGCTGGAATAATCTAAATTGGAGTTTCATTTGATATCTTGATATTTTGCTGCATATCTCATGAAAAATGATGAACGTAAATGATAAGTAGAATTTTATATAAAATGACGAGGACAGTTTTCTTCGATTCGGAATTATCGTCGAAATATTTTGATGCTTTACCACGCAACTACCGGAAGAGCCGTCGGTGTTACCAGCACAGAGATGGCTGCTACGAATCGGTACCGATTTCCCATAAGCTTTCGTACACTTCTCAAGATCCAATAACGGCACAGAGGCTTCCAAAAGCGCGGTGGAAAGCGATTGAGTAGGTCCGTATCGACCCCAGCCAGATGTGGTGCATTGTCTATTCGCGAGCTCCTCTTCCGGTTCCGGTAAACAGATCGTCCGTACCATTTTCGACAAAGGAGCTGGTCTGGCTAGCTTCATCAACGCTGGAATATATTTAATTTTCTTTCTACTCGTTTTATTGGAGGAAGAACGTTTCTGAAGTCGATGTACCAATATCGTGCATGTAATTGTTGAACCTCTCGTGGAGGACGACTCGTTCAACAGGTAGTCGGGCCGAGCCGCGTCCACCGGAGTCCAATTCCCATTCTCCGACGACCGCCGTCCATAGTGCTCCAATTGGCAAATTGAAAAGATCGCTATGAAGATTAAATCAAGATCGATGAGTAATTAAGACAGAAAATTAATTCTACTAAAAAAGAAGAGTGAATTTATGAACTAATATACGGAAGTCCAACAATGAACCATGGATTGAATGCAATTATTTATTATTTATTATAAATTCATTGTTATAAATTATTTATGAAATGTAAGCCTGGAGAAACAACATACTTATGGATACAATGAGCTGCGGTGACGACCCAAGTGGGCTCGATGAGAACACCGCCGCACCAGTGCCCGATGAACCCCAATTTCGGGTGAAGAAGCTGCAGGGACACCTGCCAAGGCCAGGAGCCTCGTTTACTCGGTTTCCCGTTGAATATTCTGCCCACTTCCCTTCGTCCGTTCATGGAGGAAACAGTAGCGTTGAGGCCTTTCGGTATCGACCGTGGCTGCCTGTGCGATGCTGCTGGAGATCCACAGGCTGTTATTGAAAAATTCAAGTTTCCCACCTAGCTGACTTTTGTCGACAGTCAACAGATAGTTCAATGATTCCGACAATTTAAGATCAAATAAAATGTTAAGAAGATCGTAGATTTTTATGCACGAAGCTATTATGGATCAATTTAAAAAAAGAAGAAAATTGTGTTAATCTTTTAAGCATCATACTTTTTCTATTGATACTCCATATTATAAATGCATCAAATCCGCGGTCTGATGATAAACCCAGAAGAAATGCAAGACTTGTGGATTGAAGTTCTTGATTAGCGTTGGACGTACATACTCACAGGAATGAGTTTCCACGATTTTGAGGAGCGCGCAGTCGACCTCCGCGAGAACGAGAAGAAGTATCGCCAGTCCACAGCGAAGATTCATCTCCAGCGAAAAAGGTACACCATGCATACAACTGTCCTTCGCCAATATTATCTCGTACACTTCATATTCTTCCACCGTACACTCACAAAGAAAAGACGCTGGTTCAATTTTCGATGCTAAAATTCGATTTAGCCACTGGGAAATTTGAAACAGGCGCTCATGATTTAAGGGAAATTTGAGGGAAGGAAGATACAGCGGGAAGACCGAGTAACCTTCGACTGCTAACTCCTCCGTAAGAACTTACTCCGAAGAAAGTGATCGTTGACGATTGCCATCGAAGAAGGGGAATAGACTAACCCGCGATCACGGACGAATGGAAACTGGCATCTCTTTAAACAGAGGAATACCGCTCTCACTAACGAAAGTTATCTCTCCTCCTTCGTCTTCTCATTCCAATTAGAAACGTTACTTTTTGCTTCGTTGCTATTATGTTTCATACCTTCGTAAGGTAGCAAAAAGATCCTTGGCGTGATCGGCTTTTTCTTCAAGTTTAATTAAAGCTTAAAAAAGGGAAGCTTTTCAAATGAGAAAATATTATTATAAAAATAATATTAGAACTCAATGTAAACTTGAATTATCAATTTAGGATTGAAACTGAACTAAATTTCATATAGACAAGTTCCTTTAAGTCAATCGAGTTTATCGGAATAGATCTAGAAACCTAATTAGCATGTTAACCACATCCTATGTTACAGACAGCACTGTAACATATAATTCGTTATGAATCATTTAATCGCAGTTTCTCATAATTGTGCATCAATTTTTTTTTTGTTCTACACTGGATTAACTTGATAGACTACCTTGATTATTGATAGGCGTGTTAATTGCTCTCGGAGGCGGATCTCCTTTGAATTGCGTGTATAATACTGACTGTGAACAGTAATGATAGGAGCTACAGGTTGTTCAACGAAAAATTGATCGTCTTTACCAAATTCAAGCATTACATGTTGCATTTATTTGGAACATAGTGCAATTCTGTTCGTAAAATTAATTTAATAAGTCCTGAGATCTAAAAATCTTGAAAAGCTGGTACAAAATTCTGTGATAAGCAATTAAAAAAAGAAGTGTACATATTATATTTTATATAGAACTGATCCGACTATATAGATGACAATCATTAACGTGATTGCCGATGTTCGGACTTTTGGAACGGTCTGTAGATTTGTATCCAGGCCATTTCCACGGCAAGGAAAGTGAGGAGGAATGCAGCGTGACGCGACGTTAAGATAACTATTTTTTAAGTTCGCCGTGTCTAAATCATTGGAAACATTTTTTTTTACCACGGCAGAACATGACTTTTTTGCCGCGTACCCTGGAATTCGTTTACAGCGTAATAATCTCTGTTGCATATAAATTATAGGGGAAGCAAAATGAGATTTCCTCGTTCCTCTTTTTGGGCTGTAAAAGAAAGCCGAACGAGATTCTTTTCCGAGAAAGCAATTATTAACATCTGAGCAATTTTATGTTACTGCCTCCGCGAAGCGATACTTTTGCGGAATTAGCTCCGATCGTGAAAGCGAATACGGTTGGGTAAAATCGATGAAAGCGATCCTTTTGCCTTTTCCAAAACATGACCCTGATCACTGTCTTACATCCGAGTTTTCACGCGAATTATATTAGTCAATGGGTGAAGAAAAACACACGTTAGGATATCAGTTATTTATATTTTGATCAATTCATTTTGATACCAGTCTACAACGGTATATTCATATGTATTTATTTATTTATTTTTTCGTTATTGCAATCGATTGCTCTTTTCCTTAATCCATTCTAGTCGACGCTTGACTAGGAATCAAATTTATACAGCAATACGTCGCGAGTAAGCAAATCAGCCTAAATTCAGATCACCCAGGACTCGCAAATTCTCAATGTACATACATATTTAATAATAAATAGATTGCGAACCTTTATGCAAAATCCATTGGTAAATGAGTAATCTAATAGAAATCCATTTAACTCTTGCTGGAATATTATAAGTTTCCTTTGTATTTTATTTTATATCTTAGCTCGTGCAGTTGATTCGATTAACAAAAATTCGCAGTCCAGTATACAAGCGTGCTGGATGTGTAAAAAGACGGAATTAGATCGAATCCATTTAGTTAGATAAAACTTGCTACAAAGTACGTTATAAAATGTAATTGACAATACAATAATACATATATAGTCAATCAGAACGTCGTCTGGTAAAGCATTGAAAATTTGTTGCAACGATGTTGGACGATTGCAAATATCTCCTCCACGTTTCTATAATTAAAAACGTGGACAGTACTATGAGAACAAATTATTCGAAATTCCACTTAATAAAAGGAAACTCGTTTATTAAACTTTCGGTGGTTCACTGAAAATATTTGTGTTGCAATCATTCAGCATGTTTCCGACGCGTGCGTGTAGTATATTGAGCGATAAAAAAATTACTTCAGCAGTACGTCTTCGTGTTTCTCTTTATGAAAACGACGGATCCAGGATCTTTCTTTTACCAAGTTACATACAGTATAGAATTGATCGCGTGTACGGTGTGGGTGGAAAAACGAGTGTATTTACAATTATCGAAAGAGACATTATTTACAAGTCGAAAATGTCTAAACATTTGCGAGTGATTTTAATCCTTGTCAATCTCTAGAATCTAACAGACGATTTAAGAATGTATAGGCCATACACTTAAACAATGCTAGCATGTTGAATTTGTTATTATAGATTAAAAAGCTACCTGCAAAATTTTAAATCA